TAATTAATAATTCCCATTAATAATCCCTGAAACACGTAACATGTAACAGCTGCCAAAATAATGTAAATCTTATTTTATTTGATCCAATTTTATGTAACTTTAATTTTGATCCTATTAAATTTTTTCTTAGTTTATTTTATTTTATCCTATTTTATTTCATCTTATTTTATTTTATCCTATTCTTTTTTATTGTATCCTATTTTATTTTATCTAATTTTTTTCTACCCTTCTGCAGTCCTGGTGTGATCTGACCACAGAGGAGACAATATGAGGCAGAACTATGACGTCTTTGTCCTTTAGCGGGCTTGTGGTAGGTTTATGGAGGTGAGGAGGTTATCTGTTATAAATCTCTGTGGCTTTCTGACACTGCTGGTGGCCAAAAATAATCACTCTGCACCTGGATCAACAGTGTGAACATTTGTACAAGTTACCAGTGGTTTTTGTGAAGATGTTTCTGTGTGTGGGCGCATGCCACTGTTCGCCTTAAAAGTTGCCTGAGATTTTTGTCTTTTTAAGCAGAGCAGATGTTTGTGGGCAGTGAGGCTCCACGCGTTCCTCTGCCGTTGAAATAACCTCGTCACAGTTAACCTCCACATAGACTTTTTTCATTTCACTGTGGCAAGAAACAAATAATAATTTTACATGTACTTCTACTGAATTCTTTGAGAGTTTATCAGTTGTAATGTACTGGAGTGTGCATGTCTGTCTATGCTTCCATGGGATTATCTTTAAATGTCCTTTATTACACATAATTGACTCTTTTCAACTTTAAATCTTGTTTTCATTTAGTTTCAGTATTTTTGTTTATCATCTATATTTTCTTCCGCAATTTATTACACTTCAAAAATTGTTATTGTGGCAGGCTCAGTGGTCACTTAAATAAACTTAAAGTTGAGCCAGTTTCCAGGTAAAAATCGCCCAAAACATTAACATTAACCCTAAAGACAGAAAATATACTATGAACTAAATAAATGAAATATGATCGTGAATGTCAGACATAGTGTCCGCACTTTCCTAACCCATTCCTAGCATCCAAATTATTCATGTCAAAAAAAATGGCAACAACAACTAGCATGCAAACAGGTCACTTTGGAGGTCAGTTTGGAGACAATAAATGCTAGATACACACAGCACATAGCAGTCTCATTATGACACTTAGAGCTAATTTCACATGCATGTGTGGCAAAACTTTTCACATAAATAAATCATGTATGTACAGACCATTAAAGCCAACTTTTTAAACATCAAGAACATCAAGAAGAAAGAAGAAGAAAGTTGCCATGTGATTTCAAGAATTTACATACATTTAAATTGCATGTATTTCAGACTAAGAACTAACTAAGATATAACTAAATTAGTGAAGCATGTTAAAAGTGTTTAGGAAGCATTTGTCCTGATTTATGTGTTGACGTAACCCCTTCTCAGTTTGGGACTCGGTGATGGTGCACATGCCGCTGGAGTATGTGTGTCCCGTGGGGAAAAAACTCTATTAGCCAAATTAGAAGACAAAGCCTGCTGGGGTCAAAGGTCAGGAGGTGAACCCAGGACGTTTTCCAGGGCTGCTTGTAAAACAGCCCAGTAGCAATGTTATTTCTAGAAACCCCATTACTCTTTGCTGTTACATGTAAGCAGGCTACCACGCCTATCTCTATTTCTCACTTTCAAAGAATAAACATGAGGTTGAATACAAGGAATGCACGCGTGGCTTATTTTCCCCCATCGCTAAATACACATATATATCGTTCTTCATCATTTCCATAATTTATTCTATCTCGCCTCTTTAAAGTCATCATCATTTGGTCTCAAACCGGCTGAAGTTGCGTTTTACCTTGTGTCTTTATTTAACAGAATGCAGTGCAGACATGTGGTGTCAATCTTATGCATATGGGAATACATTTGCAAACTGTAATCAGCTCTTGTTGTTGGAGAATGTTTTGGAGGCATGGGAAGACTGTACAAGATGTCTATTTTAGCTAAATCTGTCTTGCTCCAGTTCATATATATTGTGCAAGCAGCTCTTGAGGTCAAAGTAAGTCCATGTGTACTCTCTGTATATGATTATAAAGCATTAGTTTGTCCAGGAATAAGGAAGTGCACGCTCAGCATGCTAGTTGTTGTTAGCATTAGCATGACAGCAAACTCCACTCTGGCCTCTACTGTGAAATGAAAAGGTAAAACGAGGAATAAATTTGGACCACTGCAAACCATTTAAATTAGAACTAAACACCAAATCTGCTTTTTTTTTTTTTACTGGTGCTTTAATAGCATTCTGTACTGTTCCTTGTGCATTTTTTGGCAACAAACTATGTACATTTGGTCAGTTTCCGGTAATTTTTTTAAAGATATGTCCTAGCTCCACTTGGTAGTTGGTGACATCACACAGAACTACCCTGATTACAGCTAGGTGTTTCTTACCCTGCATTCGATTATCCTTCTGAATCGGTTTTCTGAGGAAGTTGCCTAGCGACACACGTGACGCGACTCGCACCTCGGTGACGGAAAAAGTAGACTGAGCAAGGATTCCAAGTCAGAATCCAGCATGGTTGCACCCACTGTGACATGTAAATATAAAATGTTTTCATTGTGTTTGGACACTTTGGTTGTTGAAATGACAATTTCAGTCACTCATATTATTGCAATCCCTCACTGCATCCGTATCACTGCCTATGGGTGTGGTAGTGGTGAAGCCAGTAATGAACAAATATTTGATTTAACTGATGTTAACATCCTTAAGGTTGTAATGGAAGAGAAATCATAACATAAAATGAAGTGCAAAATTCAAAAATATTATTAATTAAAGTGGCAGTGTTTTCATAAAATGAGGGAATAGTCATAATCATAATCTACGTAGTCTGACACATGAAACATAATAATATGCTTCAAGCTCGGACATGACGTCAAATCCGAGGTCCAAGTGGGAGTTGGAAGATAATCGAATGCAGGATGATTACAAGCACTTGGCTGCAGGGGCAGAGGTTGCAGTACGGATACCTGTTAGACTGATCACAGTGTTCCTCTTATGTCCAGACCATACCCCCCTCTGCCCTGACTCTCCCCTTTAGTCCTCTTGTCCTATTTGAAATGTGCTTTTGGTTAGAGTTTAGATGTTTAGTTCCACTTTAAAATAAACTAGTTCTGTTTTTCACATTTTAAGTCAGTAAAAATCAGGTACAGCATCGTCTCTTTCAGGAAATGTATAATATGCATTTGACCCATCTTCAAGCTGGCCTTTTTCTTGGAGGTGTGATTACTAGCCAAAACAAGTTTTGTAACAGTAAAAGCACTGTAATAGAAATCAATGCAAGATAAACAAAATGAATGCCTACTAGGAATATTCCAGGCAAAGCAATAACATCTCTATGGAGACAAGCAGATGGTGCACCCTCCTTCAAAAAAGTTGCATAACGATCTTCAATGTTTGTTTGTTTTTTTCTTTAATGGAGTTCCAGTGTACTGTTCTGGCAAAATGTAGCTATAAATACTTTATTTTTTTAGGATACAAGCTGAAATGCATTATTTGTGTGTATCCATATGTTTTTATTCCTCTGGCGATGAGAGGGATGTGGTTCTCAGCTCAATATTCAGCTCTATCGTGTTATACAGGGTTTATACTGGCCTGAGGTTTTCATGAATATTGCACCATATATGGTAAACTCCATGTGTGTCCAGTGTATCATTACTCCATGTTATTTCTGAGTTTGAACAAGATTCTATATGCTCTGCAAATTTACACTGACTATATACATCACTGCTATTGACGTATGATTCTTCTGTTTCATATGCTAATATAATGTGTTTGCACAATAGATTTTTTGTTCCTTTTTGAATAAGTGCTTTGCCCAAATCTGTAACAACTAGTACATCTTACCTGCTAGATTAGAACAACATGTAACATTTGCAGGCTTGGAAGATAAAGATTATTCTAATGAACGGAACTGACACCTTTTATGTGGTTTAAGATTTGTGATGGTGGTCCAATCTATTATAATGATTTTTACACACTACATGCATTAGCTGTTTGTTGTGCATTGTACATTAAAATGCTAATATTTTATGGCATCAGCTATAATAGGAGTCTTTCTAGGCAATGTGCCTTCAACTTGTAATATAAAGTCAGTGTAACATGAATTTACAGAAACATCGGTGTACACTCATACTTTGAGCCAGCCTAAAAAAGATCAACTTTTTTTTCTAAATATTTCTCAAATCACTTTTTAGCACTAACATCTGGCACACCTATAGTGGAAATTGTCTTGAAAATTGTCATTTAAAAAATATTTCTGGTTAACTTATAATTGGAACTAGAAAAGAGTAAACATCTACAGTGTTTTAATGTCATAATTCTTCTTGTATGACTCTATTCCTTATTCCAAATTTCATTACTGTGTGACATTTACTGGCTCTGTCTGAGGTGCTTCTGAAGAAGTGTTTTTGGGGACATGGGACCAAACATGGCTGCTAATCGCAAAGGAGGGATTGGCTGCAGGACTACAGAACGTGTCCATTTTGAATATTAGCTGTCAAGATCACTCAGTGCACAAGTGAGTGATGTGTCTGCTGTTCCTTTTAATTTAATGATCTGTTTTAGTGAATTGCATTTTTTATAACATATTCCTGGTCCCCTGTTTACATCGACAGAGTATTCTTACTGGCACAGAGAGAAAAATCTAACCACAGAGTGAGTCTTGTTTTACATTTCTCATTAGCATATACACTTTGACCACATAGAGCACAGTGGCTTGTAAACAGCAGTCGTGTGACCTAAAGTATCCCAGAGGAGGAGACATTAATAAGACCAAACCTTAAAACTGTGACTGTTGCAAAATGCATGTACCACACCCATTCTTTAAGCATTTACAGAAGTGGAGCATTAAAAATAAAATAAAATAAAATACAAGAGTTAAGAGGCAGTGGCAGAGGCAGAGGTTGGTGCTTCAATTTCAGTTCAAACCAGTGCCTACTCTTGTTGTACCTGAGGCAAGAAACTTCACCAACCTTACCTGTGACTGAATGTTGTGTGGTTGTAAATGTTCAGGAGGGCCGGTGTCACAGATTGGCAGCTTTGCTTCCATCAGTCTCCCCCAGGCCAACTGTGGCTACTGCTACTTTGAGTATCTGGAAAAGTGACATTCTGGTTACCTTCATAAGAAGAAAGCATTGCCTTTTCATCAACATTATTATTCCATAATACAATCCAATTGGAAAACTGAATTCTGAATACTGATCCTGCTTCCTTAGCTAGAATTTCCAGCATGCAATAATATTTAATAATATTTTGCCTCTCCTTAAAAACATGAACATCAAGTAAATTTTCACAATATTGTTTTGTACTGGAAGCAGTACCCATCATTGTCCAGCATTTTAGCCTGTGTACTTCTATGTTTATTATACTCTTTGTTTGTGAATGTAAAGCCAAACTAGTTTAATGAGCCATGTCTTGTTCCTTTATTACAGTCGTCTCTGACAGCTCACAATGTGGCTTGGTTTTCCAAGTTGATAGAAAAATGTACATCAGCAGTAGAATGGCCTCACATCTAAATGTGCTGTTGATGTTGGCGAGAGGCGAGAGCTATTGGTGTAATTGCTGACAAGTGGCAATAAAAGTGTAAGAATCTCTAACAAAGCCTTCATAAACACATGCATTTCAGAAATACTTTCAAATAAATCTGTTTTGTGGCCATTAGTTAGCAAAGCTGAAAAAAGATGTAGGGTAAATTGAATGAGAAATGTTCTTCTGAAACCACCATCTTTGTTTGAGCTGTAATTGAACGGTCTCTGTAATTTAAGACAGTGGTTTCACAGTGGGGTTTGTTTAAATTTAACTGAACTTATTGAGCCAAAAGGTAATTTAAAGGTACTATATTATGCAAAAGTAACTCCTGTGAATTTTAGGCTGTGTTAAAATGTTGCGTTGTGTTTTGTTTCATTTGCTCATGTTTGAGTAATCCTGTATTATTAGTCTACATCTCCAGCACTCAAAATGTTCTTTTCCACTCTGTGATGTCATGAAGCAGCAGCTACCTTTTAACTTTTGTTTCGTAGAGATTGGCAATTCCATATCTAAAATGATCCAAATGATTCTAATGAAGCTGTATGGGGTTTAAAAACACAGTGGGCCACTTCCTGTATTACCACATGACATCACAACGTTGAACAGTGTTGTGTGAGTGTTTTCTGTTTGAGAGAAGAACAAAGCATAACATCACATTGTTATACTGTACATCACTATATAAATTTTCTGTATTGACTGAGTTAACCAGCTACTAAATAATTTACTGTATTGGCTGAGTTAACCATGACCCAAACCACAGATGATATTCCATGTACAATCTTACATGCTCTAGTGCTCTTTATCTCTCTACATTTCCCTAACGATTAGCCCCTTGCACATTCACATCGATGTTAATCTGGACATATGATCCAGGCAAGTGAGCGTGAAGCCCTAGCAAAACACAGAAACCACAGCAATTAGCCCACACGCATGTAACTCTACCTAAACATGCCAACTGGGAGACAAAGAGTCTAAAACTGTCTCTAGAACAGCAACAGTTGGGTATAGGATGAAGGTAATCTGAGCCGTCATATTAGGGACAATATAGAAGGAGGGTCTGAAAAAACACTGTGCAAATAACATGGCAAGTTATTCAGTTCCATGGGAAATGTGGATGTGTGTCCACTGGGAGCTGGAGTGAATGGGAAGAGTCAGGGATTCGCTCAGCTGGAAAAGGATTACGTCCAGTGGGTCTCTAGGGGCGGGCACAGATGCAGCATTGATCCACATGATAAACACTCAATGACCACCGCAGCCTGCAGTCAGGGTCGGGTTGCACTAGACGGAAATGCTAAGAAAGACAGGAGGAGTTGTAGGGGTGCAAGAGAAGTCACAACTGAATTGTAGCTTTTTAAAGGTCCAATATAAGGCTATTTTTGAATGTGTTTTGTTGTGAGTTGTGTTTTGTTTCATTCACACATATTTAACAGACAAACTCTCCATATTTAGATTGAGTTCTTCTCTTAAACAGAAAACACCCTGTTCCAACTTGTGATGTCATGTGCTAATATAGCAAGTGTTACCCTGTGTTTTTAACTCCATACTTTTTCACTAGAATAATTTGGATGATTTCAATATGGAATTGCCAATCTCTACTGAGCAAAAGGTAAAAGGAACTGTTAACTTGAAAACCATTTTGTAATACTAATACCACCATGTGTGAATGAAACAAAACACAACTCCGGGTATGTTTTTGAGGAGGTAACATTATAACATGGCTTAAAGGGACAGTCTGGAATTTCGGACACAGGACCTCATTTCCTAGTTAGCCAGAGTGTTGAAGACGTGTGGAGACACTTTTTAAAAAATATTCTATCCAGTCCTTGTATTTGCAGAGGTCGCTGGTGTTAGGCTAGTGCATGTCAATGGCCATAGTTATCCTGCCACTAAAAACAGTCTTACCCACTCCACAAAACACTTGAAGTAAATCTATTATTATGCCAGACTATCAATGTAAATGTCTGTGTTGACAGAATAATGTTTGAAATAAAACTAACCTTGCATTGCATGAATCGTTGCATGCTGAGGGACTATTTTCTCAGCAGCAGCAGAATTTTACTTTACTGGTAAGATAGGTGTTAGGTGATATCAGTCTGCCGCTGCCAAACTTTCTGCCAGGAAGTACAACTTGCTGCTACTCCTCAAACATAAATCCTTCAAATGCAAGGTTGGTTTTACTTCTAAAATCATTCTATCGACACAGACATTCACATCGACAATCTGGTGTAATAACAGATTTGCTTCACGTGCTTTGTGGAGTGGGTAAGAGGGTTTTTAGTGGCAGGCTAACTATGGCCATTGACATGCGCTAGCCTAGCACCAGAGACCTCTGCAAATACAAGGACTGGATGGAATATTTTAAAAAGTGTTTCCACACACCTTTAACGCTAACTAGGAAATAACATTCTATGTCCAAAATTCCGGACTGTCCCTTTAAAGCTCACAAGAGTTCATTTTGTGTAAAATAGGACATTTAATGGGCATAATCAACAAATCACAAAACTGCAATTAAAACAGCTGTACTTTTTTCATGTGATCAAGTAAAATTTGTTTTGTACCAACCATAGACTGTAAATATAAATGGACAAAAAGGAAGTGACCATGGATACAAAGCTGGATACATTGCTAATTTATGTTTTGAAATGCACAAGAGTCTTATATTATTAAAGTGACATTTCAGTCTTCTTTCAAATGAGATGTGTTTAAAATTATCCCTCTGAACAGAATATTACTTTTAAAGCACGAATTGCCAATTTGATCGTTATGTGTTAAAGAAAAAATCAGTATCTTTCCAAAATCGTTCAACCCTTTGGAGCTGCATGGATGGTCTGCACTGATGATAAATAAAAGGACCACTGCTCATTTGTATCATTTCCTGTAAGAGCGATCAATGGAAAAGTACTTAATGAGGTTCAGACCTTTACTTGTAGGTCAACTCATCAATGTGTTAATGCATTACAACTTATTTGACATTTTTAATTAAGCAAACGAATACGACTGTAACCTAGCAGTAAACATTGAGTAGGTGTAATTATTCCATTTCCATAGATTTTATTTCTGGATAGTTGATGATACTGCTGTAAGTTGGCTTTGGCACATTAAGGAGAAAAACATAGGTCGTAGACTTACCATACTTACTTTTGCTGTTGGTAATTTACAAATAAAAATCACTCAATTAAACATAATAGGCTTGATTTTATCAGACTACAATCTGACCAAGTGATGGTTGCAAAAAGAGATAAATTAGCTAAAATCTGAAATAAAAAATATAACATCTTTAAAGGTGCATTGTGTGATTTTTCTGGTTGTGAGACCATTAAATGCTTTACTCTGTGGAGATGCTATTGCTTTGATAGGAATGTTTCACAGTATGGCTTTAATTAAATCTTCCTATCTTCATGGAGACCAAACCAGACCAACTTAAAGGTCAGATCTGCGGAGAGGCAACCCCACTCACCATTAGAATTCCTGTTTCTTCTAAGTACTTTTGAGCTATAAAACAACCTGTAATTAAATAAATGCAAGTAGAGCTATTTAATGTCATACTCTGGAACATTTCAGGCAGAGCAATGACATAGCCATAGAAACAAGCAGGTGATGGGCCCTCTAGCAGAAAAGTTACACAATGCACCTTTAACAAGTCCAAAATTATAACTCCTAACAACTATAATGAGCCAAATGGTGTTGCCTGTAGAGAGCTTTTGTTGCCCTAAAATCCAATGAGTCTAATAAAAATACCCTTTTTTATAAACACTTTTAATGACCATTGACTAAATCTGCCAATCAACCAGCCAGTTAACTCCACATCTCCTTTGGCTTCTGACAGAGCAGCTGTAAACGTTTCCTGCCTGCTATTGCCTTGGAGACCATTGAAACAAAAGACACCTGTACGCTCTGACCACAAAGCCACAGTGTGCATGTGCGAGTGTGTGGTCACCCTACAGGAGAGCCCTCTCAGCCCAATCCTTTTATGGGCGTCACAGGATGCTGCAGGCACCGCTATGGAAAGACTCCCCTTTCTTCTATCCTGTTGGTAAGATTGTGCTCTGTGAAATGACAGTAGGGTTTGTATGTAGGTGGAAGAGGAGGCCACCCATCAGGGATAAACCGGTTCTTGTATTGTGGGACCACATTGAGTGCATCTCTGTGGAGGGCCACTGATTGCCTGCAGCTCCGTTAATTGATTTAGTGCAAGGTCGGAACCTGAGTGCCAGAGGGTAAAGGAGGAATTTCCTGTTTCCCCATCTATAATTCAGGGGCTTCCTGTGTGTGCATATGTATGAACATGACACACACAGTTAGACAGTCAAGGCTAAAGATTTTTGGCTGAGGCTCCGTCACTGAGTCCAAACAGAAATTACTGACAAGAAGTGAGGTCAGACTGAATCCTGAATGCTTGTTATATTGCTTTTGACGTGTTCACAGTTTTTCACTTTTGGAACAATGGATGGGTTGTGAGAGAACAAAATCCTTGGAACCTGAAAAACAGTCCTCTCTGTATTTAAACTGATATTTCATCTTGTTCTAGTTCATAGTTAAATGTGCT